AAAGGAGCTGCCCTATCTACGGAATAAATGTACCTAACTAAACCAAAATTGTACCACACATAAGGCGGGTTTAGTGTTGTACCATAATTATAGATAAGTCAATATCGTCATTGGATGGCTTGGATGTTGAAACTGTTTTTTATGTTTGTAATTTGTATAGTTGCTGTAATCAAAGTATGATTAATAAAAGTTTAATTACAGTATATCAATATTCCATTTGGGAATGTTTTATGTCATAAATATGGGAATATCCGGAAATAACATATGAGATTTGAAGTTATTATTTTGCATTTTTAAGTGCTCACATTTTACGAAAAGTGAACTTGCACGATGATGGTATATGATCCAATGTTTATGTTCGGCAGTCCTATAATTTTCAATCTTTCTTTTTTCATTTATATGTAAACTTTATAAATAAAAATAATAATAATGAAAAAATAAAAACCTCGTAGTGAATTGTTTTAATAACAGAATATCGATAATACGTCTGCGTACAAGAACAACACTATCTCAAAATAATCGTTATCAACAATCATCAAAATATACTAACAAATAGGTAATCATAAGTAACCAAAGCAAAATTCGCCAAGAGTTATGAATAAACGACTTAAATGAGTCTAATTACATGAGATATTTGGACTATTGTATGATTTATAGACAGAAAAATAACGGTATAATCATTGACTTACAAATAAATGGACGACGGGTCTAATACAAAAACCACGAAAAAAATGTCCCAAGTCAACCTATTCGAAATTTAAATTGTAATGTCATCGCAGTATCGCGCTGTCAGTAGAACAAATGAAGACTAAAGCGGAGTGTCGCGCTCTGTATACGATTTTAGCGCCTTACAAGTGCGGACACTTTTTAGCGCGGACCCGACGTCCATATAAATTGTAAGTCAATGGGTATAATGCAACTTTCGGTTGATTTTCGCTTTTTCTACTGCCGCATCCCTTAATGCTGCAGCGATGCATTTTTATCAATACTTAATTGTTCTCACTGTTACAATTCATGCGAATAATTCACTAAAACATTTGGTGAAACATTGGTTTTGACATTTGATGTACTTCCCTTTGACAACCGGATATGGATGTCAAAGGGTACTCCAAAAATGGCAAAAACAATACAGTTGGCATTTAAGATGACGTTACGTATTTTCTATTCCCGTGTTTGACACAAATCAATGTAATGCTACCTCTTTTGGGTTACGACGGCACGCAGTAGTTAAACAAAGACAATAAAATGTTAATGTTTTCAACGTCGAAACGCATCATATACATATAACCTCTGATTTATATAAGTCAATATAACATGTCCTTTGGTTTCCATAGTGAGAATAACCATACATCACTAGTCAAATTGCTTTAGTGGTACTGAAATTTCTGTGCCTACTCATCATACACAGAAAACAATGCAATTTTTTCAAACACGAATTTCACGAAAAACAAAGTTTCGCCATAAAATGAATTTTCTGCAGCTGCGTCGTTACAAATACGTTAATTTATCTAGCGGGATGCAAATTGTCATGCTAATTACAGACTCAAGCTGTGTAACAAATAGCAGTCTTATGCCCGCTATGTTTTGCATTAATAGCGGAAATAGCGGAATAGCGGCGCGCTCGCTTCATTCGTTCTCTAGTTGTAATTTTAAATTTCGGTCTAAAATTTGCATTTTAGGTTAACCTACTAGCTGAAGCTTTTAAGTTAAAGCTTAAATGCAGGTTCGTGTTAAAATTATGTGCTCTACATGTTATCATATTTTATTTTGACATAATTGTCTATCTATGCTCTATGGTTATATACTATGGTTCTTAGGTTTACGCCATTATTACACTTACGAAATGAAACTATTTTTTTGGATCTAAATTGCGTAGGTGTGTTTGTTTTTTCAAACAAAACCAACGTTTCGGACTCTTTACATGTCCCATGGTCACAGTTGACTGAGATGGTAGTCATCAATCAGTTATGTCTAATATTCAAGGAATTCACCCTATTTTTCACTATTCCTACGAAAATTATTAATAAAATACCTTAGTTTTAATTTTTTTTCAAAGAAATATTCCAATTCACGCTATAAATATATAGTATATATACTATATATAAATATATAGTATAAACTACCAAAATACGTACATGTAACATGGGCAACAAATCTTAAAATGTGGAAAAAATATACAAATTTAAAAAATACTTTTTTACATGGACAAAATTTTATTCCACTTCATTCTAATTTTATTGTAAACATGTTGTTTTAATTTTTAAAATTAAACTTTTTTGTGTGAAACGATGTTGATGATTCTTTTTTTGTTGGAAAGAGGGTACTTATTGGTCCCATTTACATTTGAAGAAAATATTACACCTCTAAGGGTGGCAAACTAAGGGATGGTAACCGATTTCAATAAAACTTGGCTTGTTTTTTTTGATACAAAAGTTATCGCAAATACATTAATTATGAACTCGTTCAAGTAAATAGATTATACAGGAAGTACTGAAAATGAAAGCAGAGGGCTTGAGGCTTTATAGGACAAGTCGGGTAAGTCGTAGTGATATAACAAATAAACAAAGGAACACAAATCCACCGCTTGTCAGTCCGCGTCCTTCAGCTCGTCAGTTAATCAGTCATACGCAGGAAGCTGGCGTCTAACAAGGTTATAATAAGTACAAGGTAAATAATAATAATTGACTCTTACAAAAGCTTTTATTTACTAGAACATACAGAAAAATAATAAAGACATGGTTGCTTATTTAGAATAATAACGCATAGAAACCTAGCCCGCACACGCTAAGTGAGGCAAATTGAAGCGCTCCCAAAGCTCCCAAAGGGCCTACACGAGCCGGCGGGCCTTCAGTGCTCAAGGTCAACTTGCACCGCGAACAGATCAAGAATTTTAGTTAAAAATGACGAAACGTTCGGTAAATGAGTGTAAAAATACGTCAGACAAAAATAAAATAGATACTAACATCACATTCCACAAGGAAGTAACGCGTTTCAACTTGTATTTTTATATAAATATTCACTAAAACCGAAAACTAACCTACTACTAAAACTAGCCTACATGAATTTGATTTTTGCCTCACTTGTGACAGTTCGTTTGATATGAAACTATCATTCTATGCGTTATTATTCTAGGGTTGCTTAATGGTTTGACTTACAAATTTTCCGACAACCAATATACAAATATTGTATATATTAAATAGAATGACGAACCTGAAAAAGTAAAGATATTGCTCAAGTGTCAAAAATCGGTTTTTTTTAAATAACGTGTGAGGCACCTGGTGTTATTCAATTTTGTTGGTGGCAAGTTTTATTATAGCCTGTCTTTTTTGAAGATGGAATAAAATGACATTTGTAGGGTTGCTAGTTTTCATTAAATTTTAAATAGTTATGTAGTTGTTGTCGATAGATTATGAAAGAAGATAAAATTTTGCCAAAAAATACTGAATTGTGACTGTTACGACGTTTTAATGATTACTAATTGCGTTATTTATTTGTAAGTCAATGGTTATTATTGCCTTCTTTTTTCTTATTTTGACAATTGGCCTACTGGTCCACCCAAATGAATTTTTATTCATATATATATTTTAACAAGAATTATAATAGCTGGATTTGATTATCTATATTGAATTAAAACGAAAAACTTGAAAATATGTTGCTCGAAGCAGGCAACACTTTTGCGCTGTGAACTGTCATTTTACTTCATCTTTAAAAAAGACAGACTATAAATTGTATTGCATATGAATAAAATAAATACGTTTTATTTCCTAGGTTATTTTATTTAAAATCTATTACGGAAATTTGTCAATTGATAATTAACCGTTGTTCCAGTGAGCTACCACCGTTTTATATAATAATATATCCACTTAGTATATTTATTATATTATGGACATAACTATTTGTTTAGAGGAAAGCAAAAAAGGGTTTGAATTATGTTAACAAAATTCATATGAACCAGGACTGTTGCTGATGCAGGATTTTTACACATCAGCGGAAACTGATGAAGAAGCTGATTTTGTTTTGTTGATGTATTAAAAAAAACGCGAAAAATTTACATCCTTATTGAATGAAAAAGCTTCCTATTTTCTTTGTTATTGTAATTATATTATTGTATTTTATTATTTCCATGATTTTGTGATATTTATTAATAAAAGAATCAATCTTCGTGAAAACAACAAATCTGCCTAGCTTAATGCCTATGGAAATTTATTAAAGTTATATTTAAAAAAAACAACTAAGCTGGTTTTTCGGCTTACAGTCTATTTCTGGAAGGTTTGTAAATTATTTCAGCGTGCCTTTTAAGATCATGTCGACTCAAACATCTGCATTGAATATCCGCATCGATGTATACGAATGCTGATGCGGATGCTGATATTCACAACAACCCTGATATGAACCACTGGTCACATAACAAGAACGTTTAATCGAAATGAAAAGACGATTCAAGTGATTCTTTTTTCAAATTAAACATTTTAGTATTTTTTTTTTATATAAAATGTAAGTGCGCATTTGTCCTCCATCTCACCTGATGTAAAGTGACGATGAGGTCGACGATGGAGCATGCACACCTAAATAATGCCTATTCACTCTCGCCTTGAAAAGGCCCAAGTTATAACGTTCAAGGAACAAGTCTGCAGGTAGGGAATTACACTCCACAGCCGTTCGCCATATAAATGTGATGATCATGATGATGATGGAAGGCGGAATTTAATCGTGTAATTCCATCGCACTCTCTCAGTGATATATCCTGTGAAATACCGATAAGCAGGCAACTTTACGGCGGTGTTCAAAGCTTTGCAGCTTCGCCTCCACTAATTCCAACAGTGGAATTAGATAGATTTATGTTAGATATATGTGGCCAGGGGCCCAAATGAACATTATATCTTAGTTCAACCTTTTTAGCGCTCCTCTAAATATGTCTATGAGTGTATGTCATCATAGAGCCAGTAAGAGTATCTAATGCGGCAGTAAAACTATAGAGCATAACAAACGATCTCGTTTACCCGAGTATGTCGCCACTCGTTGGGTACTTCATGGAATGCCCGATCGTTATCCGTCAGCTTCTTGTTCCTACTATCCATTATTCTTCCATGTTTATAAATGTGACCATTATATGTAGAGTCTCTGTAGTTTAGTACTTGTGCCAGTATCATGATAATAATGTTAATAAATATGTATTATTAGTCATTGGCTTATGTTTCATATTGTTACTTAACGGTGTCGGTTTTAGGTGTGACGTAATAATGTACTTTTGTACTGCTTTTGTTTGTGTTGCTTTTGTTATTGAACGAATTAAGGAATGATTGAATGTAGGGATATCACGTTGGAAACTTTTAATAAGGGTGAAATGTTTGTATACAAAATGTTATTTCTTCTTGTTACCGCTAGGTGCGCTATATAATTTGCCAAACAAGTTTGTGAAGTAGGTAATTTACACAGTCGCTGGCGACAACTGTCACAACAAACTCGTGGTACAGATCTTTTCAACTTAAGCTCATTTTAGTCACAGTCAAAGTCAAATAATCATTTATTCCATAGGTAAAATAAATTTACATTTGAAAACGTCAGTTTTAAGCTACTCCTCGTTCACTACGCTGACTTCCCTGAGAAGAACGAGCAAGAAACTCCAGGGATTGCTCTTTTCAAATAAACTTAAATGCTATGCTATGGAATACACTTTGAAACAAATTTGTGAGAAATAAAAATATTAGAGGCAACCGTTTCCCATTGGAATACAACCACTATTCTCCTATAATTTCTTGTTTCCTTATGCTAATGGTCATTTCAGTTAATCAATCAATGCAAATTAATGCCTCCGTAGCCGAACGGTTACCACGCCGGACTGCCACGCAGAGGTTGGTTTCCCGGGCCGGATGAAATATTTGTATGGCCTACATTTATTTCTCTCGTGAATTTGGGTGTAATTTGTGACTGCCTGTGTGTATGTCCATCGCATCCGAGACACAGGGTTTCCCTTGTGCGGGGCTATGTTGAGTGTGTGCGTATAACGCACATGGCCTAAAATAGAGTACACAGTGGCCAACATTTAAACTTATTTCATGCGAGAGTTAAAAAATAATGCAAATACGTGTGTGATGTAAGTGAAAGAACCTTATGAGTTATTGGATTATTCATAGCCTTTCAAAGACGTATGTTAAAAGCATTGCGGCGGTCAGCGGGACGAAATTCATAATAACGGCTTGCGTGCGGTTGGCTGCCGTCATACCACATCCAGACCTGGGTCGCATTTAGGGAGGGAAAATGGGACCAATTTATTTTATAGAAACCACCATTGACAGAGTAGTCGGGCTCAATATGAGTAGTTTGCTGAGTCTCTTTGATAAATTGCTTTGGATCTATTTTGTTATCGCTGCGGTAGCGTTCAATCAATGATACTTCGTGGTAATTTGTAATATCGTTCTCTTTAGCACGAATGGACGTAACTTTTGGTGTTGACGGAAAAATGTTATTTAGCTAGTTCGATTTACGAACGAAACGAAAAATTTGTAGTTACGGCCGTTTTTTCTACCATTGATGACTTACGGGGCTCTCGAAGACCGTAAAAGAAAAACGGGCCGTTACAAAACTGAAAATTTGTCATTCATAGTGGAATAACGGCCGTAACTATGCTAGCCGGATTTTGTGCATTGAGAGTAGGGCTCCAAAATTGTATAGTTTGTTGTGACGTAAAAAATATGTTCCGAGTTGTAAGCAACGACATGAGAGGAGCAATTCGGTTTTTATTTTTTTGTAATGAAAATTATCGTCAAAGAATGAAGCTTGCAGTGGTTTTAATCCTCATCGAAACGGATAAGGTTGTGACGGTTTATTGTTCCTTAGTTCTTTTGCCTCGCATTCTGATTTTGTTTCGTTTCACCGCCACTCCCTGCTCGATGACGACAGCGTACGGAGCTGTTAAAATTCAATCGCGTCTAATTTTGATTCCTTACTAAGTTTATAATCATCATCACCAATTTTAATAAGTTTATAGCCACTACAGCCTTATCTTGTACCTATGAATACGTATCTGTAATTCTGTATAACTCGGCCCTTTTAGGGGTAAGTGTCTGCTTAATATCTTAATATCCATCAAGTTAGGGAGTGTTTTATAATAATGTACCTGTTTTCTATATATACCTTGTATTGTTTTAGCCTTCCTTCTTTGTTACCTTTTCTTCTCTTTAACCGACTTTAAATAAATTTGTGGACCTGAAGTTTTCTGTTTTACTGCCGTGAACCTGGTCACGGCATGTTAGGGTTACAACCCTTTCAAGGTTGTATGTATTAGGCTTAATAAGGGTTTTGTTTGTTTTTATTATTGAGCTTTATTTGTGAAACAAATCCACTAGTTATGTTTATTAATACAAAGATCAAACACATAGAAAAAATTCCTCGACCCGGTGGGACTTGAATCCACGACCATGCTGCACCATAGCTCTTATCAATTGAGCCACATGTTATTGTCGAAATTCTCCAATGTGTCTTTGTTAAAGATCTGTACAGGTTTTCTAGACAGGTATCTAGTGTGTACCATCTCATATTTTGTTTGTTTTTTTTAAATAAATGGACTTACTCTTGTTCGCTAGACATAAACTCCTAGTCATGGACCAAAGACGGGGTCCACGATGGACGATCTCACCAAGAAGTTGCCTATTCAGTCGCACCTTAAAGATTCTTGGCTTGTATGTGCTCAGACGGAGTTACAGGCTAGTAATGCCATTCCTGGGCAGTGCGCGTAATACAACTTGTCGGAAAGCGCTTAATTTGCCAGAACGAACGTTTTAAAAAGCACTTGTGTGTCATAGGAGTATATATTTATCTTGTCGAGCCCCCGTAGCATGGCTACGCATGATAGTCGCGACACGCGCGATAAAATTGGAATAAGCTATTGGCTGTCTCAATCAGATCTAATTTAGTTAGTCAATAGAGCGCGCTTATTTCAATTTTATCGCGCGCGTTGCGACTATCATGCGTAGCCAGGCTAGGGGGCTGCTGTTCTATAATTAACACGTTCTGGTGAAACTCTGGGCGCAGTGGCAGTGTCTCTAAGATCTTATTTAAAGATCTGAGTGGCACTGCAACTGTTATGGATAGGCGTGTCGCTTACCACCAGGCGCACGACTTGTTCCTATAACTTATTATTATAAAAAAGTCATTATTTTGCGGCCCTGTTTTCAATAATACATACTCATTGCATTTGGAGCGTGTCCAAAAACGGCTTTTTTATGGCATTTAACTTTCTGTGCTGGTCTTTCTTAATTTAATTAAATCTTAAATCGTGCGACAGGAAACTTGCAGATTTTAAAATTACGCCCCTTTCGGAGCGCAGAGAACTATTAGACATGGTTTTCCTTTATAAAATTGTTCACAGTAAGGTTGATTGTCCACAACTGCTTGATAACTTAAACTTTAAGATTCTGGCCAGACTTTCAAGATTTCACATAAGGCTTTTTGACCCACCTCGTCGTAGAACAGTATTAGGTTCCAATTCCCCCATAGCTCGTATGTCTAATTCATATAATGACTGCTCCAAACATGCGGATATTTTCGTGGACTCACTGTTAGGATACAGAAACAAAATTCTTCATTTTCTTGGATCGGGCACATAGCATTCTTTATTATTTAGTATCTGAATCGTGTTGCATATTTTGCTTATAAAAAAAATCTTCCTTAATTATTTCTTTTTTATTACCAAAGTGCTTACCAATAATTAGTTACGCAATTAGACTAAGTTTTTGAAATATATTAATACCTACATGAAATATTGTAGTAACTGTTGGTGTGCCTAATAAATAAATAAAAAACACCCTAATTCCATTCCTGTGCTCATCCGACGAGGGCGCTTTCATTCTCCGACTTATTCAAATAAGGTACGGCCTCTAGCTTTTGTTTCCTTTTGCGCTTGTAAAAAAAAAATATTGGAATATATCTTTGTTTAAAGCAAGCTTTGTGTCCGAGACACTGTTTGCTTGATTGGAAAATGTGGATGACTTAAGTAATGTTTCTAGGTTTCTTTTCATCCATATAATCCAGAGATTATTACTTCCATTTAGTAATATATTTACCAATTTTCTTATATTCTATCCTTTCCGAAATACCGTAGATAGAACTTAAAATAAAAATGTTAATCATCATGAACCCATTTATACTTCCCACTGCTGGGCACGGGTGTCCTCTCAGGCGGGGGTTTAGACCATAGTTCCCCACGCTGGTCTAATGCGGGTTGGGGTTTTTACGTTTTCCGAAGGTGGTCACGATCACGATGTTTTTTCTTTCACCAAAATAAATTCCGAGAAACTCCGAGGAGCGACACTGGATTCGAACCCACGGCCTTTGCTCGATAGGCGGTAGTTCAAACTATTAAGCTACCACGGTTTCATAAAAAATCTTAAAAATATTATTACGCAAATTGAAGTTTTATTATCCGGAGTCTAGTAACTTTACAATTGCGACTTACGCACAAAGGATATTGATATTGTGTCGTGTGGACATGTCAAGGTAAGGATGCCGCCAAGCAAAAAGCGTATAGAGCATACCTACTCGTATTTCAATAAAAATAAAGCGTCATCAATCTACAGTGAGGAAGAGGGATCGAACTTTGAAACTAGTGGTTGGTCCTTCCATATTGGGGTGAGCATAGTTTGAAAAAGCAGAGTAATTGAGAATCAAAACAAAATCTGCCTGTGACTGCCTCCGTGGCCCAACGGTTACCATACCGGACTGCCACGAAGAGGTCCTCGGGTTCGATTCCCGGGCCGGGAGAAATATTTGTATGGCCTACATTTATTTCTCTCGTGAGTTTGGGTGTAATTTGTGGTTGTCTATGTGTGTGTCCATGGCACCCGCGACACAGGGTTTCCCTAGTGCGGGGCTATGTTGAGTGTGTGCGTTATTATTATTATTATTATTATTATTAAAATGCTCAAAAACGTCAACCTCAAGTCACCATTATCATCATATCAGCCGGAAGACGTCCACTGCTGAACATAGGCCTCCCCCAAAGATTTCCAGGCCAGCCGATCGGACGTAACGTGCATCCATCGGTTACCCGTCCATCTAGTAGGGGGTCCTCCCACTGAAC